TGCTAATCAGATTTTGTTCTCTTATTTCTCAACTGAAAAATCGACCAAAACCTAATTCTTCAGAACACAGCACATTTACTAGAGGGAAATACTTTAACACAAGCCAACTGCCCATCAGGAATGACAGGGGTCAAGGCACAGGGACAGAGCAAGCAGGCTGGGGGGTAGGAGGGGAGGGAGGGAACTTGCCCCACCATCCCTTTGGCCAGTATCCTCTGCTGCCTCCAGAGACCAAGACCCAGGGGAGGAGCTGCAAGACTGCAGTTGTGCCAGCCCAGCCCCACACACTAGATTTAGTGCATGGGGACATGTCACCCAACCTGCAGGGCTCACCACAGGTTTAGGCTAGAAGTTGGTAGTATAGGAGCTGTGGCAGTATTAAAGTGCCGTAACTTAATCCAGAGCAGCAGCAATTAATGTTTCCCCTCCCTCCCCACAAGGTTTTCAGGCCTCTAAGGAGCCCCATGAGCTGTGAGACATGCCCTACCACCCAAGCTGAAGGTTGAGAACCACTGCCTTAGACAGACCCATTCTGACCCAGAAAATTATTTCTTATGTTCTTAGAAGTTTGGCACATGCAGTTAGCTTAATCTCCAAACCTCAAAGTTTTAGACAATGACACCACTGACATCTTGTGACCTACCTATTAGTAGTCATACAAAGTTAATATAACTCACTACACATTACATTTAGAAAATAAGATTTAGATTACTGTGATAATTTTCTTGTTTTCAAACACCAGCATAGGAAAGCAAACACTTGTTTAGTTTATATAAAAAAGTATAGCCACTCTGTCTTCATCTTTTCTTGAACTTTAACAGAAGCAAGCATGATCTCTCTCAACAGTATTCAGGGAGGGTCTGGTATATGCTTGACTGCTAGTGTACCCAACATGACAAAAAAGTCACATACCTCGCCTCTCTCTTTGCATTCTTCCACCTCCTCCAAAGAACATGTCAAATATATCCATGGGGGATCCAAAGCTACAACCAGAACCACCCTCTTTAATGGCCTGTTCACCTCCTTTGTCATACAAGTCTCTCTTCTTGGGATCAGAAAGAACTTCATATGCTTGAGAAATCTGTTTGAACTGCAACACAAACCAGCACATGAACTAAATCCACCAGGAGATGACAAGACCCCACCCCATCCCTCTAACATCAATTACTATTAGCTGGAAAGCAGCAGCCCATCTGGAGCTGGTGAATGAACTTCAACCAAGCCAGCCTTACAGGGGAACTTTCCCCACCCTTGTTCCTGCCGTGTTCAGGCACAGCCACGACCAGAAACCCAAGCTGGAAAGAGGCCTGGTGCTTCTGCTGCATTCCTGGGTCAGGGAAAGAAGCAAGAGCGCCCACAGGGAAGCCCCGCAGGCTGCTCTCATAAGGATAAAGGGGGAAGAGAGACGAGGCGAGGTCAGGCTCCCAGTCCTCCCCCACGCCGCTACCTTCTCGCCCTCGTTGGGGTTTTTGTCGGGGTGGTACTTCAGCGCCAGCTTGCGGTAGGCCTTCTTCAGCTCCTCCTGGGACGCGCTGGGCTTCACTCCGAGCACATCGTAGTATGTCGTTTCTTTCACCATCGTGAACGGCGACCTGCGCGAGCCGCCTCCGTCAGCCGCGCGGCACCTCCCGCGCCACCCCTGCCCCAGCGCCCCCGGGGTCAAAGGGGCGGCAGCGCCGCATAAGCCCCAAGGCAGCACCCCCCACCCCCCAACCCCCACCCCGGGGCGGCGGCAGCAGCACCCTACCTGGCTGGCTGGCGGCGCTGGCTCTGGCTCTAGCGGCTCCCCCTGTCTCCCGACTTTTCTGGAAAGTTCCGAGCGAGGCTTGGCATCCGGGGCCTTTTGTAGCCGGGGAGGCCCCGCCCCGGAAGCTTCGTCCCCTCGTTGCCGGGCAGCCGGAGGCGGGAGGGGGCGAGGCATGGGAGCGGGAGCCAATGGCAGCCTCTGACCTCGCCTCACCCCGCTGGCTCTGGCCCCCGGGCCACAGCCCCCAGCGTGCGCTGCGACCGCTTGGTGGACTACGACTCCCGGCGGGCGCTGCGGCCTGGTAGGGTGGTGGGGGTGTGGTGTATGCTGGGAGCTGCGACGCCCCACGTCGCGCGTTGTGTGGTGTATTTCCTGGTTTAGTCTTGTTTCCAAACGAAGCGCCTGAAACGTGGGCGGGGTGGGGGATGCAGAAATAAGGCAAAATGCCAGAGTTGCAAGTTTCTAGGCGCCACCATTTTCGGGCTAGCGGTAGAAGCGCTCCATGCAAGGGAACTTAGGATGCCGCCCTGCACAGACGTGCGTTATCAGGGCCGTGACTTAATGCGGGTCTGATACGTTTTGTACCTCGTTAGGGGAGAAAAACCCCGAAGATATACCTGCTGGGCGGTGGCTAAGATAGCTCCCCGGGGAGCCTTTGTGTGCACTAAGTACTGAGGAAAGCAAGGCCGGATTTCTGGGGCTCAGTTCAATCACAGACTTTCTTTTGATATCGTTGCACAACCTGCCAGCTCAGTTTGAAAGATAGGAAATGAGCCCCCCTCAGCACTGAGAGGAGGAATAGTTCAAGGTGAGCCTAATTCCATTGGAAAACATGGGGGATGGTTTCACCACTGTAGGCAAAGGCCATAGGAACGAAAAAGTGAAACCAATTGTGATTGCCCTAAGGTGAGTGAAATGCGTACAAGTAAAGATATAACATTGTAGATGATGACAGATTTTATTTTAGGTAGATGCCGTTATGGTTTTGTAATCTGAAGTAGTTTGATAATCCCAGCATTTATTTTCTTCCTAAAAGAAGGGCCATCCATAAGATAATGTATAAATAAATAAAAAACAGTCTTCCAGAATTGAAGGCTGGGAGAGGCCCAGTGTCTAGCTATTGCAATGTATGACCCCAAAACAGAGATGCTTAATACCCAATTCAGCAGCAGATTGTGTGCCCTCATGTGGAGACAGCTGAAATAAAGTGGGCTCAGTAGCTAGTAAAAATGGTTGAGCACCTTGCAAGAGCACATCTGGTACAAGTATATATGCTGAATGCATATTGGACTGCTTTTTAACCCTCCCTGCTATCTTTGGGTCGACAGGACTGAAATAAGTGATTTTTCACTTCTGTTCAGTAAGCTTTGTGAAGTGAATCAGTGGTCTCTTGCCATTCCTAGAGCATAAGTATCCAGCTTGTAGAAATCCGGATGTGGAGGGGCAGGCATCATATTTCCTCTGCTTTTGCACAATGCTGAACATAATTAAATGCTCAAACGATAATTGCTGCAACTGTCAACAAGAATGCCTGAGAGGCTGAAGGTGGAAGTTCCCACACATTTCTATAGCACCATTTCCTGTTTTCATCTTGCCTTCAGTATCAGAAACTGAATTTTAGAAAGCCCGTCCCTGTTGCATCGTGCAGCTTGATTATCTCTCTCATTCTCTGTGGCCCCCCCTGCACCTTTTTTTTTTTTTTTGCTCAACACACATTTCAGAGTGCTTGAGGGATGTCCCATTCTCCTGCTGTGTATCTGAATCGTCTTCTATTTTCCTCTTCCCACTGAGATCTCTACAGCTTGCTCCACCCTGCGAAAATCTATTCCTATGCTTGTTCCACCTGTCGCAACCCAATAGTACTTGTCATTCTCCTCCAGCTCTTCCCTACTGCTCCATTTTTCCCACTGTTCCTGCTGTCTTCCCCTACCAGCCCTTGGCAGGACTTCTTGTCCTTAAGCTGGGGATGCTGGCAAGGGCATGAAGGGAGACTAGGGAAAGGGAGGGCAGATTGTGGGACAGTTGAGAGAGCAATAGAAAGATTGTGTTCCTTGTCATGAGCCTTATTTAAGGGTATATGATGTGTTCTGGTTTAAGGGTATGCTGTGTTATGGTGGGAGGACTTTATGTAAAAAAAATGGCTATGAGTGTCTAGGGGCATGTGTAGATGAAACAAGAATTAATGTCGAGCACACCTGAAAATTTTAACCCGGCTTTGTTTTGGTGCAATGCATTTGTGTTTGCACAACACGGCGCTTTTGAGTGACTTAAGTCTCTTGTGTCATTCCCTGCAGATTTCAGTAGGGGGAGTCAAATACCAATATACCCTCACCCCCAATGTCTTTCCTAATATATTACAGCAGGAGACGCATGTAAACCTGCCTCCTCTGTCCCTGCCCCTGGCCTCTCACTGAGAGTCTCCCCTGGGCACGGTCACTGCGCACTGCCCTTCCTCCTGCGCACCCCAGGCAAGCCGCCTTTGGCAGTGGCTTCGGTGGGACGGGGGGGGCAGTGGCACAGAGTGCTGGCCCCCCCAGGCCCCTGCCAATGGCACCCCCTTTGCGTCTGCCCCCCGGGGTGGCTGTCCCACCTGCCACTGTCGGTATGCCATTGCCCTGCACCCTGATAAGGTCATCTCTGGTTGTGGGGGGACACATTGTTTAGTTCAAATTTATTGTAAATGGGGCTGGTGAAATTCTGTGGGCGTGAAGGAAGGTACACAAGGTGCACAGGAGGCACCAATACAAATTCTGATGCTCTTTCTATCCTCCCTCCAGTTTTTAGATCCCCTTCCACTGCTAGCTGCAGGCTGATCACTCCAGGTTGGTGTGACAAGAGGCAGAAAGAAACAGAAGATGAAGAGGATGACAACACTTCCTTCAGGATTCTCTCAACAACTAAACTATTATACATTATCATTATAGTTGCCTTTCATCCTATAGACTTATATAGACTTATAATAACAGATAATACTAATACTGTAATAGGAGTTAGGAGTCAATAATACAATTAATTCCAATAGTAATATATTAATAAAAGTTTGTAATAATGTTAATGATGATTTGTTAATGATCAATAATAATTGTAATGGTTCAATTCCTTATCACAGCATTTCAAAGCAGGTAGATCTGCTTTATCACCCCCCACTCCCCAAACTGCCTCTTGCAGCACACATACCACGCATCCTGGGCACTCATCACACATATCCTGGTCCTCCACCATATATATAGCCGATATATGATATAGGCTTATAATTACAGTTCAATTCCTTATGATGAGAAAACACATACTGAGAATAAGGCAGGTGATTATGTACCCTACCTCCCTGCCTCTTTCCCCATGGTGGCAGCGGGGGGTGATTGCCCACCTCTTAGTTACTGGCCATAATAATGAGCAAGCTCTTCCCTAGTTCCCTCTATTCCTGTGGCTGGAAGAGTACATCCTTTCTGAAAAGTACCCTAATTCTGAACCTGACGCCACGCCAGGAAGGGGGCAAGGCTTTCTTCTTGCCCTCCTCCTTGGTTGCTGCCCTGGCCACAAATGCAGCTGAGGCTATTTTCAGTAGGACACTATTCAGTATGAAGCAGATCATTGAGGGGACTCACGTTCATTGTGTGACAGTCCCCTCACTAGCCTACTATCAAGCGACTGTTGCTGTAAATAAGCACATAAAGAAATGTATAATAACTATGTAATGAATGCATGCTAAAGTAAATACGTACATTATTAAGTACTTAAGAATTATGAATTGCCTTTACACGCTGTAATATTTGAATAGTTGATGGCCACCAGGACTGCTAGGGCTTCTCTTCTATCTACTTGAAGTTCTTCAGGTCCATTTCATATTATTCTCACCCTACTCCTGGTTGCTGGCCACAAGTACTGCTGAGGTTTCTCATCCATCTACTACTTGAATTGTAGAGGCTTTCTTTGCAGGCTTTTGCCCAAGCATCAGCTCGAGTATGGTAAGAGTTGCACAAGTACTGCAGATCCATTTCATATTATTCTTGCCCTCTCCCTGGTTGCTGGCCATGTTTGCTAATGAGCGTATTATGGAATTGTAATTTGAGAATTGTTGCTGGCCACAAATGCAGAGGCTTTCTTGGTTGCTAGCCAAGCCTTCTGCTTTCTTCACTAGCTTTGGCCCGAGCATCAGCTCGACTATGGTAGGAGTTGTTGAAAACGTGTCGTCTGACTGGGGTAAATACAGAAAACATGTCTTCTGACTGGGGAAAAGCTTCTTGCTGACGAAAACCCTCCCTGCCTCCTGCATCAGCACAAGTTGCACAAGTTCTGCAGGCTCGTTTCATTCTTTGCTGCAGCTGTGCTTGGGAGTTATGACTACTGCAGTGGCATAGGGCTGGAGGCGCAGGTTGGGCCTTCCTTATCACCCTCTCCTTGAGTTTCTTTTCTGAATTGCAGAGGCCTTCCTCTCTGTTGCTGGCCAAGCCTCCTGCAAATTCCCTCCTGGGGTCCAAGTAGTAGGCCCCTTGCCTGTGGCCTCTTCGCCCCACTCACCCACCTCTGCCTTTCTTACACTTCTCTGTTACACCTTGTAACTTTCAAATTGTTGCTGGCCACAAATGCAACTGAGGCTTGAGTTTCTTCTCTGAATTGCAGAGGCTTTCTTCTTGGTTGCTGGCCAAGCCCTCCTGCAAGTTGCCTCCTGGGGTCCAGGTAGTAGGCCCATGCCTGTGGGCTCCTTGCCCCACTTACTCACCAACCCACCACTCTGTCTCCTTGAGGCTTCTGTCTCCTTGAGTTTCTTCTCTGACTTGTAGAAGGAAGATTTTAAATAAATAAGGGTAACAGAAAGTATTATAACTGAAGGGGGGATTTTCCTCCCCAGCACCTTTACAATATAAAATATTGTAAAACCTCTATAAAACTATACTATAGGCATCTGCCTGCCTGCCTCCCTCCCTCCCTCCCTAAGCTTTGGGGCCAGCAAAAATTCAAAAGTTACTACGTAGTGGATATTAGCTTGGCCTGACTCAGCCAGGCAGTTGAGTTGGGCCATGCATCTCCATTTGAGGCGGCCCCTTTGGGACCATGCCTGCCCACCCCCTCTTCACCTAGCCATCTTCCTGCCGGAA